AGGCAACAGTGCTACCAACTGCGCCACCCTGCAGCCCTATGTTAAAAATAATCAAAATAATTCAACTTTTGTTTTTACTTGTATTATGATTCATGGCATTATAACTGTGCCATATAGCACAAAAAAAATGTTTGAGTTCTCTCTCCTTGTATCCATCATTGTGGGTTTTCCATTTAGGAACAGAACTTTAAAATGCAATGAAAACTTAGCCCACAGTGAGTAAAAACATGACCGGAGCAGAAAACACCCCGAAACCACTTGGAGTTCAGATAATTAAACCTCCTTCAGTTTTTCCCATGTTTTATAGGCTTTTTATTCAGACAAATTAATAACAGCAATTCTTGGGGGCTTAGAATAACATGCTGAGAAATAAGTACTGGCTCTTTGTCAAAATCAGAATGGATTACACAGCATGTGTTCAGAGTGGGATGCTCATCTGATTTTGGCGTCTCCCTCTCCGAATGTCAGGCCTCCTGCTAATGTGAACAGTAGCGATTGGACTTATGTAAATCCACGCAAATTAGAGATGATTAGGAGCGGGAATGTTCATACAGTATTTTGGATTGTCTCGCCGTTGACATCATTCTGAGGTAAACACCAGGCAGTTTCATAATAGCCCACGCATTCGTCGAGTGATGACGTAGGAATCACAGCTCACAACAGGCGAGCGTTGGCTGGAAGAATCTTTAATTATTCACTTCTGCAAAACATGCTTCTTCCATCAGACGCACCGTCTAAAAATACGTCCGTCTTCAGTGTGGTGTTTGGTAACAATGTTGTGTTTGTTACTCTTTAACTTGAATAGGCTTTTTATCCACGCTCCATATTCAGCACAATCCCCATTTTTCTTCATCTATGTACAGACACTTTTCTGTCTAAACTCTGGTGTCACGGACCGTGACTGCGACTGAGTTTCTCGTGTTAATAATGTATTAGCATGAAGTACAATGACACATTAGTCACAGAGTGCGGGCAGGGCATTTAACGTGCCCTTTATTATTAAATGCTAAATTTGCATTAATTACCACAATTTTCACTTTCTGCCAAGTGTGACTGATTTAGAGAGCATATGGAGGGAACATTATGCATGACTTCAGGTTAAGAGTTTGTTTAAATTCTGTTGTTTCTTTGATTTTTTTTCATGAGCCCAGATCTTGTCCTGAAAGTTGGTTTGTTGATTGAGAAACAAAGTGCACTTTGAATGTCAGTTTACATTCTAGATAGGTAATTAACTGCAATACATTAAACAGGATTTTACATTTACCTGCAAATGTCCCTTTCAGCAGTTTAGATGCTAAGTACCCCTACCAACAAAACATCGTCTGAGCTGCTGCCAATGAAACATGAACTCTGACACCCTCTATCTTACTTTTTGCAATAAAAACAAGTCACAAAACTTTGTTTAACATATTATTTTGACGATAGAAGAGGCAGATTAAAAGCAATTTCAGCTGGAGACTGATTCATTCTCCATTTGACAGGCTTCTGAATTTGTTTTTCAGGACTAGCAAATGGTGAAGCTCGAATAACATGAAGAGATCTCATTAATATTCATTACACTCAAAATACAATATTCTTGGAGTATTCGAACTGTAGTGTTGTAGTGAAATGTATTACATTCTTACTGTCATCTCACTGTGATAACAAGAGACCAAAGAAAAAAATATACAGTTGTGTATGGCTGTAAGAGTGATGGAAGATAAATGTCACAGTGACCAGTAGTGAAATCTCGCACTGTGAATACGACAAATGATAAATTGTATTTGTAGTTGACTCGTGAATTACGTGCAAATGATGTATGTTATGTGCTTTTTATGACTTAAAAAAAAACCCCAAAAAAACTTCTTCATCTGTTGGACATTCTCTATAGTCTATATGAATCAGTTCTGTCTACTATGGTTATACTATTTGAATTATTATTATTAATGCCAAACAGACAGATGTGGTTTAGATGAAAAAGCACGTTGGTTTAAGTTTCATTTCACTGTGATTTTAAGTAACCACTTTCCCCAGCCTCTTTATTGCATTTTCAATTTCCCACCACCTTCCCTTTTTGCAAATTAAACCAGAATGCTGATACATTTTGAAATAAATGATGGCATGCTGTTACATCCCTGGTCTAGGGGTGCAGGGACATAGCATAAAAGGACACGTGGCGAGAAAAACAGGGTAAAATTAGGCAATTTATTGCCACCAAAATTTATATATTTACAATTTTACACACAAAAAAACCAAACAATTACAAAATAGAAAAAAAACAGGACAATAGAAGCCTTGCTTCAGGGTGGACAAAGGCCAGAACAACAAACAAAACAAACTATCTAATTAACCCACCATCTGAACTAAACCCTGGAGGAACAGAAATAAACCAAAATACATTTGCTAGCCTCCCTAGAGTAAGCAAAAAACAGAAAAAAACGAATTAAAACAAAACTGGAATCCAGCTCTACTGCTTCTGACTAACTTAGAAATCCTAAACTTAAATACGACACAACCTAAATTCTCTGAAACCCAAATTCTAATGTGACTAATCACAAAACTAACTACGAAAACTGGTCATTCCACACCAACACACACCATTAACAAAAGTCTAAATACGAAGCACAAGACCAAAGATGTTTTTAGGGACACGAGGCTCTGCCAGCGCAAAAAGGTGACTCCCTCCCACGCCGGCCGGGAGAGGGTGCTTAAATACCGCCTCTTCTGATGGTTCGACCAATCCCGAGCCTCCAGGTGTTCCAAGGGACCATCCTGGAGTGCTCATGAATGAAAGAAAAAAAAAAAGTGAAAACAAGAGGAGGTCTCACTCTGTCACAAAAACAACAAGTCGAATTCTTACGGCAGGGCTGTAACACATGCACATATCTGCAGTCTGAATAATACATTAAGTTGGAAAAGTGCTTTCTAGCCAATTTATCATAATACTTATCTCTTCTTTTCTTTTTCTTTTTTTTTTGCTTTTTGAATATACTTGTTTTGATTTCATTGCCGGTGACATGATGCAGTAAAAAGCAGTTTTATAACCACAGAATATATCTCTCTACACTGATATGAATAGACCTCTGCCACAGCCATGAGGACTAGTGATGGCTTTCAGCTGTTGCGAGCCTCTTAAATGTTAAACTTTATTTGTTCTGGGCTGCAGCACTGATGATTTCAAATTGTACAGTTGCATTTTTGAAGAACTTTGAGGGGAGCATCCTGCTTACTGATTTTAAAGATGCAAGAAACTGAGGGACTGGAGAAACAGACAGACGGGATGCAGAGACCAGTGTGGTAGTGTTGAGACACGGAGAACACAAGTGTCAAGATTAAAGGTTTTAAAATTTAAAAAAAGAGGTACAGTTGAGAGGCAATCATTCTGCAATTACTGTTAGCGTTAAAGGCGCCAACCACAACATACTGCTCTATAATGACGGCGCTTAATTTTATGGAGACACGGCCTCAGGACAAAGATTAATCAGCTTCAGAGAGGCAGGAGTTGCACCTCAACACACACATCTCCTTTACCCTTGACAGCTCTGTGGGAGGAAGCGGCAAGGCTGCAGTGTCAGGCAAGGTGGGCGGCATCAGACCTGTCAGAGCATCACTGATGATGTTCGTTTCATCATGGGATTTGACCATGTAACAGAGAGCAACAGCGATATGAATACAAATAGGCTTGATCATGTCTTTGATCGAAAGGCACCTGGAGCTTTAGTCCAAGATGCAAGCTAAAGGATAATTACCGCACTAATAATGAGTATAAGTGTAGTTTCAGGGTAGTCTGTGATATTTATTTCTTACTGTTGTCAGTGAGAAGATCACCTGTCAATTTGACAGCACGAACGTGACAAACCACTCAATACTAGTAGTTTATTATTAATCTCTTCATATGAGTCACGTTCTTTAGTGTTCATTCATTTTAACCTCCTTTCCTTCCTCTTATGGCTCCAGTTTTATTCCATTTCTTTGTGTTACCAGAGAGGAAATAAAATGAAAAAATATACAAGAAAGCTTTGACTTTTTTTTTTCCCCCTGCAGGAGGGAAACATATTATTTCTGCCAAGTAGCTGTCTTTGTTAGGCAAGTGTAGTGCCTTTGTTCTGTTGACTGTTGCTGTAAACTGCCATTTGTTGATGTTTTTTTTCTTCCAGGTAGTGGGAGAGTGGCGCTTTAGCAAGATCCACTGTGACATCTTTGTCACTCTGGATGTGATGATGTGTACAGCCAGCATCCTCAATCTCTGTGCCATCAGCATTGATCGGTGAGTTTGCCACTGCACAGATTGTTTGGTCCTGCCTGTCATGGTTCCAGCATGGATTTTAAATGGAAATCTTTACCTCCCGGATAACACAAGAGAAGTGCCACTCTTTAAGTGCATGAGCACCAAAGCATATACGTCTATTTACAGACTAAATTACTTTTGCAGACATGGATTTCACACCATCTATTAGTTTCCGTATGTTTATCTGGAAGGGCAACACTTGTCCTCATTACTGGCCACCAGATGTTCCAAGGTTATAAATGTGGATCCCTCAACATGACAAATTGGAGTAATTTTGGAACTAAGCAGTGGAAACAAACTAGTGAATTTATTAACGCACTATTTCAGTTACAGACATGTGCATAGTATGAAACAAACCGCATGACTGCAGTCTGTTTATCTGCAGATTTTGACTATTAGTCACAAAAGTTTAGAATCTCTTAAAATGATTCCACATTCAGGAATTACAACATAAATGTATATGCACTGTCAAAGGTTATCCTCAAAGGGAGAGGTCTAAAACTGAGATGTTAGGCACCACTGATTAATAAAAATAAAAAAAAAACAGCAACAAAAAACCCAGAGGAAACAAAATACTATGAATGGGGGAAAAATGGTTAAAGATAAATTACTCATCCAGCCATAAACATTCCTTTGAAAAGACATAGTTTTCGACCGATTTTAACATCCAACGTTAATCATCTCGACTGGTTGAACTAACTGCATTGCTTTAGTCTCAAACACTGCCACGCAAAATTGCAAGGAAATAATGTAGTTATTTTGTTCATCAAACAAAAATAGAAAACATGCTGATTTCAGCTTCTAATACAACTGATTTTGAAAGTTGCTCTGGTTCGTGTGATGTATTTTGAGTTGTAGGAAAGACGCGCTGTGGCTTAGTTGGTTAAAGTGCCTGTCTTGTAAACAGGAGATCCTGGGTTCAAATCCCAGCAGTGCCTTAGTCTCTGTTAAGAAAACACAGTGACATGACATAATGAATGTGCTGTGCTTTAGGAACAGCTAAATATTAAGGAAAATGAAATGCCATACATTTTTCAGTGTGAAACATTACATCAGGCTAGCCAAAGATAATGACTAGCCAAATTCCAATTTTGCCATACTGTTCTTTTCCTTAGACTTCAGATTTTTTTCAAATGTATGTTACATAGGATGGATCATAAATGACAGATGCATTAATGATGATAAATTATTTAAATAGAGGTAAATATTCCTCTAAAAAGCACCTTATTTTCATGTAACTCTAAATATCAGTAATCAACTAAAATCTACGTTGAAAAGCTAAAGACCAACATATCTGAAGAGCCCATGTGTGCAGTCCCCTACAATACATTTACATCCTTGAATGTACAAAATGAAAACTGAATACAAGGCATTATGTAAATGTGTAACACGATGACATAGATAAGTAACGTAAGTACAACCTGGACCTTGAACAAGGTGTTTGAAGCAGGTAAGAAACAGAGTGTTCTGCTGGAGAGAATAACTCCCTTTGGTGGAGTTAAGATCTTATAAGTTTGCAAACCTTTCACACTGCCAAGAAAGCTAGAACACACCTAACCACAGGGAAAACCCTCTTTGAAGAGTAAAATAACAGCAACTGCAAATCTTGTTTTTGCTGATCAGCAGTACACTGTCACTACAGAGCAAACTTCTGACAATACACTGGTGTAGTCAGTCTTTTTCACCAAATGCACTATTTCTGTTGATGTGGTTGCATTAATTACAACAGCATTACAATTAGAACAGACAGAGTCAGGCAACACTAAAGGTCTCAAAGTTTGCATACGAAGAACCAATATTCAATGTTTTTCTCTTTAATCATGATCATCCCTCCACTTTAACTGCATGCTTATTATTGTAACCACAACCAAGTTTCTTTTAGCCATAAGTAACTCATCCAGTATGTGTCTGTTCCTGAGCCTAACAAAGTCTTAACAATAGCAAAGTCGTCTAGAAAGGGTATTCAATATTTCTTTTTAACAGTTTACATGTGGCATCTGCTATACCTCCATGCTGTCCTACGGGTTGTACCATGGAGTAGACACAAATCTAAACTTACATGGTCATTTAGGTTACACAACTTGCTGGTTTGTACAAAAATCCCAGAGATATGCTGCATGAGTGATTAACTCTGTTAATCTATAATGTAAACAAGTGTCTGACATTAGAAAATAGGCTGTAGTTCAACCTGCACATCCTTATTTTTGAGGCAGTGACACAGTCTGTGTGTCTGCAGTTTGGTACTAAACTGGTAGCATACAGTGGATTTTTTACATCTTAAAGCTTTGTTCTGCGGCTGAACACTAAAATATGAGAGCAACGAGAGTAAATCAAACAATAACGTTGTGGGTCAGAAAACCGAAATAATGAGCTGGAACACGTTGAAATCCTCTGCAGAGCTGAGAGGACTGGGGAGTCTGGTAATAATTCTCTGTGGGGTTGTCAATCAGAGCAGCTCCCTGCACATGTCATCTGATTTATTATTACCAATATCGATTGCTGCAGCTTTAAATCAATAGACAAATGAGCAATTAAAAAAAACTGCGTGGGAACTTTACCTTATGTCTTGTCTTTATGTGTGAAATAAATCCCCTGTTTTAGTGCAGTAGCTGACATGAAAACTTGGTGATTAATGACACTTTGTCAGCTTAAGTCAGGATGAGGGAAGCAGAGTTACACCGAGGCGCTGTTCATCTGAAAAGCTTGTAAAACTTGAGCTTTCAATTTTAAAAGTGTAGGAAGTAATCATGTAAATTAATGAACACAATGTGTGTAAGAAGTCTAAAGTATATCAAGGGCACAACAATTCCTTTACTGTCATTTTATAGAATTCTCTCATGTTTAATTTTACATGATTTTCTGCTTGGCTGCATTTTAATCTTGAATCCATATGCAAAATTAATATCCACCGTAGTCACACATGGACACAATTTGAGCTCCTGTTGAAGTAACTGATTTAGAACGAAGACGAGTCTCGTATGTGGAGAAATTAATCAGAATAATCTCATGGTAGATCATCGTTTGTGTTTATTGTAAATGAATGTTGCAAAGATGCCGGAGAGGAAAAGCATCCAAATTTACATTTAGATATTGTTTATGTGACTTGTGCTTGCTTGCTGCATGCTCGTGAATACTAACCACCGAGAGAATGAGACTGACAGAACTAGGAATTACTTCACCTGGCTTTAATACATTTCAGCATTCCATCATATGGTGCTGATTTGCAAAAAGTTCACATAGCAGCCACAGAGGAACGTGTTTCCTTTTTATTAATTCAGCAGTTCTATATGACATTGTAATTTTTACATCAAAGGATTGTTTCTTGCTCTGCTAACTTTGTTCTTATTCACTAATGTGGAGCAAATTGGAGGTTGATCAAATTATGGGCTCTATTTTTGCGAGTTTGCGAATGCAAAGCATGTACTCTTTTGACAGGGATGAATACATTATTAGCAGCTGGAGTTGGGTCGCCCTCCAACAATGGCCATTCAAATCAGCCGTGCCCTTCCTCTTGACAGTCAGATGACTAACAGGCCTCAGACAAAACTGTTTTTTGTGTAGGAGGTGATATGAATGTACACGTGTCAAGAATGATTTCAGAGAACTTCAATTATGTTTGCAGAGCAGCAGACTATTTGTAAGTAAAAAAAAAAAAAAGAAGAAGACAGTTCTTATCAATAATGCTCTCAGTGAGTCATGATCTGCAATACAATTTTTCCAGGACATAATGTCAGAGCAGTTAGCCTTCAGCTTTAGAAACACAGTCAGCATTTTCTGTATTTATTAGAAATTCATTTAGTTTGATTTGAATGTCTTTACACATTGCTAAAAATCTTGTAATAAGGGGGTGAAAGAGGTGAAATGTAATCAAGATTCCACTTCTTTTAATAACGAAAGACCTTGGTATTGGTTGGCAGTCCAATAGGAATCCAAGGCATTTTAAATTTTAATCTAAAAATCATTTATTGGACAGATAAACCAACACTAACTCAGAGAGTCTTCATCAGGTTATAAGGTGTCAGCTCTTTCTATTAGTCCCATTAATGGGCTATTAAATGTAATTATCATAAATCTGGGGGGAGAGAAGGCTTTGGAGTTTCACTTTGAGAAAGAATGCCCTGAGAGTTTCTTCCGTGTCTCCAATTATTTGAGCTGTTTAAACAAGTCATCTATGTAGACTTGCCTTAAACTTTGGTGTGTAGAAGACATGTGTGCACAGACTTTGCCAGAGCATTGTTGTGGGTCTTCACACATTGATTAAAGACCATGAATCTAATGAAGTACATATTCTTCCTTTAATCCTGTTGCAAAATTAGAATGTGATGTGAAAATAGATGTATCCATACTATATGCATACAGTGTTTTTCACCAAAATAAATCATGCCTATTTTATTACTGTTTTAAGCGTGCTAGTGCAATGGCAGGTGCAAAGCAGTAAGTCTCAAGTGCACATGCTCCATGGGTGTCTCTAAACATGCTGTTTGGGTTCATGAGTGCAGCAGCTGGAAAAGCGCGAGGGCTTGATGAAGTGGATTTTAAATGGGAGGGTGTGGTGATTAGTAAATATACTCTCAGACAGTCACATCCCCGGCCTCATTGCTCTGAAGCAGCTGTGCCAGTCACAGTGACACATGACAACAAAAGCTCAACGAATGGACAGATGCTTGTTCCAGAATTCATACTGTCATCTGGGTATAATTTTTAAAAAACGCAATTTTTAACTCTCACTTCATAAAAGATCACATCATTTCGTAGAATGTGGTACAACAGCATTTGCACCATTTGGAGACCGTAATACAAAACACCGCTTTTACTAAAACGAAAGTTGGAAAGAAGCCACTGCAATCTGATATCTCCCACTGAAACAGCAGAATCTGCCGATCTAGTTTATGTCTATTTTAAAGCGATGTGGTTTTATTTTCAAGTTATTTAATATTCATAAACAGACATGATGGTTGTGTATAGTCGCACTGCACTCGCAGAATTTCCGTATTCAAAGCCCTCAGATTTATCAACCAGTCTGTGCTGCTGCCTTCAAATGGCTGCAGGGATTTAACAAACTGAAGAGCACCCAAATGAACTTAAAGATAAACGTGAACCGATTTTTGTGAACTCTTACATCAGTGTTATTCTTTGTGGCAATTAAAACACATCTACTCATGTGATCAAGCAAAATCCAAATTTTCAACACGTGCTCCATGTATTATGTTTGCTCTCATTGATAAAATCTCTGAAGTGGGAGCACCTGTGATGCAGTGCCAAAAACAAAGACGAGTTCCATATCTGTCCTCGAGACAAAGCCTGAGTCACATTTTCCACCAAAATACCAACAGCCCTCATTGCGCCGCTTGGTTTTAATTAGCCTTCCACCTGTTTGCGCCTGTCGGCCCACCTGTGCACCTGTGCTCTGCGCCTGCCACCAAAATACCAGAGACAAGAGACAAGTGCATTTCAAGGTCGAGAAATTACCAAACTGTATGGAAATACACATAAGCTGAGTTTTTTTATGTATGAAAATACACAAAAATGACAATTAGCAAAGGAAATGTAATATAATCTTAAAATATGCACAGGCAGAAGCACTGTGGTCACTTTTAGTTTATAAATACAGAATGATAATACAGTATAATAAAGTTATCTTCAATTTAAACTGATTTCTCCTGCACGTTTTCATAAAGTCACCTTTTTCAGAATACACTCAAAAGCCTCAGCCACTTGACATTATGTCTTTTAAACCAGATAATGCAGAAATCAATGAATGAGACACTGTAAAAAGCTGCGCATTTCCTGGTGATTACAGGAAGCTCACTAATAAGGTCAGTCACTGCAGCAGGGTTAAATGTTAAGGTCTTTCCTTCAAGAGACTCGGGGGGGCTGCCCAACAATATCTTATTTTCATGTGAACTGAAGCCTACAGCACATAACCGTCTCCAAAGGGCCAGTCCAGCATCAGGAGGACTCTGATCCAAAACGACAGGCAACATTTCTTCTTTAACCCACTTGTAGGCTTCATGTCCTCTGTTGTGCTTTAAGCTAAAATATCCATCGATGAAGACGGAGAACTGGAAACAAAAATGGGCTTAGATCGTCAAATCAGAAAGCAACACACTGAATGCAGGAACGCTTATGGGAATATTTTGTTGAACTTGTCTTGTGTGTCTTGTATGAAGGTGTTTTTTTTCTGACTAGATATGTGTTGTGTTTTCATACATTCTAAACATGTATTTTCTTCACAGTTACACAGCAGTTGCAATGCCAATGCTGTACAACACTCGCTACAGTTCCAGGAGACGGGTCACAGTAATGATCTCCGTGGTGTGGGTACTGTCTTTCGCCATATCGTGTCCTCTGTTGTTTGGCCTGAATAACACAGGTAAGAGAAACTGCAATACACATCTGCTCTACAGAAATGTTTTTTTCATAGTGCGCCGCTATATTTGCGGAGGAATGGTGGTGCTGTGCTGTACAGTGCACTGTATTATTTATCAGCACACCCACTGCATAGTGCATTACATTATGTATTTGTAGATACACACCCTGGAAAGAATAGTTAGGTGGCTTTTTAAACGCTTACACACTTAAGCAGAATGTCAGTATTGAGTTACAGCCACAATACAGTACAGCACTGTACTACAAAAGTGAACTCTATAAACAGACAATTGCGACATTTTATAAAGTTTTGTAAAGACTTATCCCTGTTACTAGAGTACTTCTTCCTACTGGCTTCTAACTTTGGGGAGCTTTAGGTAGCTTATTCCACAGAAGAGGTACTTTGACGGAGGATTGCTGTCACAGCAGTTCTGATTAAGGGCTTTTACGGAGGAACCAACTTGTTGCTGACCGGCTCCTGTGGCTCACATCCTGTCACTTTGAAGCTGCACTCATCCCTTTGAGTGCCTTGATTTAATGTCGATTCAGCCGGGACAGAGACTTTTCAAACAAGCGGCGACTGCAGATCTGATCAGTGAAAGCTGCAGGAAGCATGAAAGCAGGAAACACAAAAGCAGCAACCTTTGAGTTTGAAATTCTGCCGCACCAAATATAAAATACACGCAGTTATTATTTGTTTTTAGAATTTATTGACCTGTCTGGGGTTTCTTTTTTCATGTTTTACACACATAGCACGGCAATCCCAGTTGCACATTTGTGTGCATATTTATGCAAGTGTGAAAGACATCTGGTCTGACCATCCGCATTAGGCTTGAGTGTGTTCAAGGATGTAACATATGGACTGAAGACTGAAGAGCCAGGTCCAAAAATGGGGTGAAAATTGAAGCAGCAGAAGCCTTTTAGCTCTTTGTATGAGTCAAACTCCAAACAGTCTGGATCTTACATTTCCCATAATAGAGCTGAATATGATGTTCCATAAGGTGCTGTACCAGAAGACGGGACACTGTTTTCATACGCAAAGTTACACATTTTGTGAAACATAAACTGAACTTTGTAAAACTGGTGGAGCTCCCCTTACTTGAACCAACTGTCAGCCTTATTAGCGCAGGTTTAACATGAACTATACAATGACCCTGACATCTGCATTATATCCACGGCTTATCCACGTCTCTGTGGCAACAATTGCTGCATAATCTGAGCTGCTTTTAGGCAGTAAAATCCACTTGGTCCAGATTCCAGAAGCTGGACTGACAGGACGACTCCGGCCTGTCACTGAAGTGTGAGTTCTGGGGTGCAAGGAGTTAATTTTTTCTCTCAAAATCTGATGCCAATGTTTCTGGCTTTGAAAGTAAATCAACCGATTTTAAAATTAACAAGCAAACACTGCAGAGTGTCTAAAACTGGGATGATATGATCCACACGTTTGGCACCAGTACTAAGCCATGTGGCAACATTAAACAGTAATTTTGCAAGCAGGGTCACAGCCAGGGCAACAATATAACCGAGGTTCAGAAGCTTTCGTAAAGTGGATTTTCTTTTTCTTTTTCGTAAGCTGTAACTTTGTTCTTTTTCAACATATTTCTCAGGAAAAAAAATGAGACATGTAATAACCTCCATAAGAAAAAGTAGCTCAAATTAGCAATAGTGATGAAGATGTTTGTAATTGCTGGTACATGCATTTATACAACATAATAAAAGCTCTAAAGTAATACGAAGTCGGCCAATAGAAAAAAATATTATCCTGTATCATAGGTTTATTACAATCCAAATATTTTTAATCATATTCTTTCACAGTGAGTTCTTAAAATGAATGTACCATCTGTCATCACTGGCACTCACAATGCTGCATTGATGATCTACTGGAATCAGCTTATTAAGTGGAATAATATCTGTTTGGGAGCAAACGATTTAAAAATATTCTAATATGCTTTTGCGTACCAAAACTGCAGGCTAAATAAACGTCCCTTCTTAGTTACTACCAACTTACTTTAAAGGCATTTTCAAGTCAGCCAAGCCTGAGCACTGTACATTATCCGATATAGCAACACGTTATATCTCTGTTGCACCACATTATACAGGTAATGTTACATCTAATGTTAATATATACTATTGGTGACCAGGTTTTGGTTTTCAAAAAAGAGAACTATCTTCGTAGGCACTAAAATCTTGCTCACCGTTGGTAGGGTCTCATTGTTATTGTCCTCGCATACCAGCTGGACAGAAAAGCAGCATTTATCAATGAGGAATAGGTTCTAATTGGCTGAAATAAGCCCTTTTGACCATAAAGTCAACAGAGAATTTGCTCAGGTCCGTCTACCAGTCCAGTCTGTGCTCTAACATTAACCCGGTAGATGCAATGAGATTTATAGCAATGTCAAAACACTGGAGTTCGCTAAATAAAATCTAATTTATTCATACTTGCATATAATGCAAAATGTCAGCCTGAGAGAGAAAAAATATTACCAAGGTCCAGACCTTGGCGACCTCAGAGCTATCTTCAGGGGGTGCTTCAATGTGTGGGGAGTGTAGCGGTGATTACATTTTTAGATGCATTTTCAAATGAATAAAATCACCAAGCAACCCTTCTTTTTTTTTCAAGCCAAACTAAGGTTCCCATTTCAAGTTTTCCTGGAGGCATACTGGGAAAAAAAACAACAAAACTACAAACATGCACAGAGAGAGAAAGATATTTTGGAGGAACAGAACATGCAGTCTGAAGTCTTTATTCCCCCTGTGCTTATCTCCACAGCTACTCGTGATGAGTCCCTCTGTGTCATCGCCAATCCAGCCTTTGTGGTTTACTCCTCCATTGTGTCCTTCTATGTTCCCTTCATCATCACTCTGCTGGTTTATGTGCAAATTTATGTGGTCCTGAGGAAACGCAGAAAACGTGTAAACACAAAGCCGAAGCAGCGAGTCTGTCAGGCTGCCGACCCTGACGTGGCCACTTCGCTTAAGGTGAGCTGCTGGAGCAATATGGCTCCTGTTTACTGCCATTTGTTATGACCTCAAAATGAAACTAGAATAGACCCACACCTTTATTATCCAGGAGTGCTTCATCTTTCTGTTCTTAAACATTTAGAATTTTTTTTTTTTTTTGTCCGACTAATTTGGGACAAAATCATGCCTTGCTGTTTGAGTTCAATAGTTTTTTTTTTGTTTTTTTTCATGAAAATGCAATCAATAATTCAACGCAGTTACAACTGATGGGTTTTACGGGCAGGTATTCTATTACATAGTAACACACTATAAAGGGAAATACTCAGACAAGAAGAGGATTGATTTTCTTTGAAAACACCAAGGATAACATTCATTCAACACAAGGGATTGTAATGAGAAGGCTCAGCGACACCTTAGGCCTTTAACAGTCTTTATTCACCTCTTACGTAAATTAAATGCAACTCCGTAACGGTTCCATTCAGGAGACCAATTTCAATCTTAATGTTGCATTAACTGGCACATTTCACTGTCAAAAGCCGTCACGCAACACTAATTATGATGGCCCTAAACTGACCTTTAGCTTTTCTCATTATTGATTTTCCTGACATCGTGAAACTCAATGGGCTCCACACAGGAAGTCAAGTAATGTTCTTGATCCAATGCACTACATTACTCATGTTTATGTAACGTTTTACGCTGTAGTTTTGGCCATTATACGGCAGCATATTGACAAATTATGCGCATAATCTTTATGGAGTAATATGGAATAATTTTTATCGAAGTCTACCTTATATTGTCAAAGGTCCAGTGAGTTAGTGTCACGCTGGTGAAATGATCTCAGGTGACAATTTCTTACACTGTCAGGTTTATAGATTTGGTTTTCAGCAACGACTCTACCTGCAAATCAGATTGTTGATCAACAGCCTTTCTGTGCCAAAGCTCAGTGTTGCCTCATTCAACCCAGAAGGCAGTGGGACCCGGGCTGCTGTGCTTAGACAGCCCTTTTGTCAGTTGCTTTGACATTGTACCCCCTCCTTGCCTGACACAGCTGTTTTCCTTTCAGGATAAGTGCACTCATCCAGAGGATGTGAGGTTGTGCACAATGATTGTTAAATCTAATGGGAGTTTTCCTGTCAACAAGAAGAAAGTGGTGTGTGTTCTTTATTTGCTCTTTTCATTACATCTTTTTTTTTTCTCCCTAAAACTTTAATTGGAACAATATTTGTTTTGCCTATAAAGATTTAGCAAAGTTTCCCCTTGAAGTGTTCCTCTGTTACTTAGAGAAAATAAAGCTTTCACCTTTCTGCTTCAGTGAGGACACTAAAGCTAAAATAAGGAATCAAAGTGGAACCATTTGTTAAATATTTAATACCTATTTTTTAAATGTCACTCCTTTAACCTAAATCAAAAATGACCATCTAAATCCATGTTTTGCTGCTGGTTGTGATTTTGTTCAGATATTCATCAAAGATGTGGTCACTGAGGGGGAAGATCTGGAGCTGGATGAGCTGAACAACAGCGGCGGCAGCCAGAAACAGAAGCAGCAGACACAGTGCGCTCTAGGAGACACTCCGGCCACCAGCAATCAGCAACTGATGCCAAGCAAGGCCAATGCTAGCCCCACCTCCACACCTCCCACACCCCCCGAGGAAGGCCAGAAAACAGAAAAGAACGGAGATCCTGCCAAGGAGGCCCTGGGGGATCCAGCACCTATTGTAGCAAAAGCCTTCCAGACGCAAGCCTTACCCAATGGCAAGACTCAGACTTCTGTGAAAACCATGAGCAAGAGGAAGATCTCCCAGCAGAAGGAGAAGAAGGCTACTCAGATGTTAGCCATTGTCCTTGGTAAGTTGGTTCACTCAGTACTGAAATTTTGTTTCTGACATTTCACATTTAGTATAAAGGACCGAAGTTAAATCAGATGCTGTATTATGTAACTATGCACGTCAAAGTTGGAATGACGCTGTAAAACGAAGAATTTCTTCAACCACATAACTACATTCTGTCATAGTCTTTTAACATGCAAAACACCACGCAGAGATCACAGCGTCAAATCAGTGAGAAACTCAAACTCATCAAGACCAAATTGTTGTTTGTGCTGTAATTTACCAGAACTCAATCGAGTAATGTGCAATCTATTTGTTTTGAACGCAAGATTCCATCACAGGTATTTGGCTGCCTTTGCATGTGGTTTTATTACCATCTCAAATTTTCTGAAAGCACCTAAAACAGAACGTGCAAAACAAGTCAGGCAGTGATGCAACAGACAGAAATCATCCAGATACTTTACAGTCCAACTCCTTCGTATCCCATCATATTTAGGTCTATTGTAACAGCCTCATTCTTTCCTCCCTTTCTCTGTCTTCCTTTTAATATTTCCTTCTGTTTTTTTCTTTTGTATCTCCTCAGGTGTATTCATCATTTGCTGGCTGCCGTTTTTCATCACACATATCCTGAACACCCACTGCACCAAATGCAAGGTTCCCGCTGAGATGTATAATGCTTTCACTTGGCTGGGCTACGTGAATAGTGCTGTAAATCCCATCATATACACCACCTTCAATGTTGAGTTCAGAAAAGCATTCATTAAAATCTTGCACTGCTAAGCTGCGACATCACTTATCTGATCAGACTAAGGGAGGAGTGATGAATAAAAGCATCTCTTCGGGCAAATACCTCATCCTGTTAAGGGAAACGCACCACGTTGGGGAAACTGCGATCTGCTTTTCAAAGGTACTGAGTTAAGTGACTGAAAAAATGACAGTGTCTTACGGAAAGGCATGTTGGCTCTATATGTGAATTGTTTGTGGAGTCCTGTTCTCCAAATCACTGAATGTAAAACAAGAAATGTCTGTAACAATGACCTGTTTCATGGGGGGGAAAAAAAGTAACATTGTTCTCTAAAATCATTGTGCTTGTCATGTGAGGAGCCATCTGTGTATACCACACACATTCAAGTTGCAAATTGCTATTTATTGTGTGTGTACTTTATGTTTTGATGATGGAAGTTTTCTGCGAATCTTAAAGATATCGAGTCAGTGTTCATTGCAGTGTTAAAATTGATGCGTCAACTCTTGAAATCTATCACTGATTGGAATGTGTGTTAAAGGCAAGAGAGGATTTTTGCAATTTTATAAATTGAAGAATCTACTACAGCTACTAGTACTACTATTATTATCATTAATATTATTATTTGCTGTATTGTACATAGTTTTTTTCTTAACAAATTAACTGTGAATATATTGCCTGCGATGGAAATGTGATGCATGCTACACTGCTCCTCTACTTGACTTTTCATGAAATGTATGTTTAACAAAAAATTGCAAAAGATCTCCAATAAATGAAGTTAAGATACATTGTTAAGTGCCACATGAATATCAGTGTTCGCTGTGTGTGTAAACAGATACACCCAGGAATGACCTGTCATTATTCAGCAGCTTCTCCCAAGGATTGGTCTGCAGTTTGAGTAATGTTGTTTACTGGAAGTAAGTCGGAGCAGTGCTGCAGTGGAGTCATTCCATAGCAAACTAATGACCTGTATGTGGACTTTGCAGCTTCCAGGTATAATCACGCTGCTGTGTATAACCCCTGAGGCCACTCCCTGGGGCCTTCGCTGAGTAAGAATGAGGAGAACTTGACAAAACTGGAATAGTTACAGCAATACATCTAGTGTGTGTTTCAGGTGACAGATCTTTTGTTATGTTCAGTTTATAGACAATTATCAACAAAGACTTTCATGTTTTGATGCATATCAGCCAGAATCCTGTAGTGAAATCATAAAACCTTGCATTCAAATACAGACAAGAAAATCAAGTCAAAAGGTGGAATGTTTGCAGGAATCAGTGCGCAAAACTAAAGCACATATTTCTGCTTCCCAAAGCTCTTGCAACAGTATATAATGCTCCCTTTAAATAAATATATATATATATAGAGAGAGAGAGATATCTATGAATAATGTCTCATTAGGTACAGAGGTATGAAACTGACTCAGACATGTGTCACTGAATAAATAGTCTCAGTCACACCTAGCGGAAGTGTGATGCATGTAATGATACTATCAGCAAACAGTGAAGTGGGAATGGAGGATTGAAAGCGATATATGAGAACAAATGAAATCCAGACTGATAAGTCACAGAATAGAAGCTTGTGTTATCTTAGGCCTTGTCCACACTGATATAGATATTCCGCAAAACAAACATTTTCCTCGACATTTGGGTCTCTTAAACACACAGCATTTCATTTATGTCAAACTCCTTATGAAGTTAAAAAAAAAAAAATCTAAAAGCTTTGATTCATGTATCCATGTGAAGAGTTTGGGAAGCAATTACAGTACATGCTCATTGTTGCTTTGTGCCTGAGCATGTGCCTGAAACAACAAGCAGTGGTGGATATGTAGCCTTTTTTCTTTAGTTAGCACTAGCAATTACAAGTTTGCAACTTAACTTTGTATTGCTGCTGCGCACATAAACCTCCCTGTGTGTGTTGTGTCCACTACTACTTGCTACTTGGTACACAGCAGCTGTGGTATAAAGTCCACAAGAATGGATGAAATGACAGTATTTTCTAGTATTTGATGTATGATTGATGTGGACTGGCGGGCCATGCTTGTTAGAGCATTTATAGTTGTGTCGAGTTCTTATGTATACAGAGATATCTTGTAAAATAATGGCCATGTGGACATATTTGGGGAAAAAAATCTATAACCATATCCACATTAGTGTGCACAAGGCCCTAATCAATCTTTATTGAACTGATGTTTGTACATGTATGATGTTGTTCCTTTTATTGTTCTTATTCATATTTATTTATTCAGCAACACATACCTGAGTCAGTTTGACATCTGTGCACCTGATGAGGAGAAAAGTTGGGCCTGAAATGTGGTACTTTTTTAAATAAAGTTGTTTTGTTTTTTTTCCTTCAAGGGCACATTCTACTGTCGTGAGTCACTGGGAAGCAGAATATTTGTGAGAACCATTGTTCACCAACCTGTGACATGTCTGTGTGTGAGTGAAACAAGTGGACATATGGAAATAAATGCCTAAATTAAAAATGAGTAAAAATGAGAATAAGAATACATTGTAAATGGACTGATATCCCCGGGTCTTGGACAAAAATGCGATGGTGTGATGCCTATGTTGTGGCTGTGAATTGCAGTCTTTATGCTTTGACATCTCTTTCATTCAAGCTTAACATCAGTCTTTGTGATAACCAAAGTCAAACCAAAGACGGTCCAGCATTGCATCACTTTCAGGGGGAAAAAAAAAAATCATAACAGCCAGCTAACTTGAAGGGCAAGAGCCAGCAACAACATGATATTAAAGTTCAGTTGCAGTTAGCAATTCCCAGCTTGTGACAAATGTAGCAGAATGAAAAGCTCTTGCGTTTCAAGGCAATTCATCACTTGTGGTGAGTGCTGCAGCATCTGGCTGCATACCAGATACTCAGGAAAAGCAGGTTCACCTTTTTTTGTTGCCATATCGTGTCTGAAGGCCTGTCATCTTTCTGAAATGTAAAGAACTTACTGCAGTGTGGAAAACAGTGCATGTAAGGGTGAACATTGATTTATTTCTGATGAGACAAACATAGCCGTGCGATAAACTGGTGACCTGTCCAGGGTGTCCCCTGCCTTCGTCCTAAGTCAGCTGAGGTCAGCTCCATCCCCCCGCGAGCCTAGTGAGGATTAAGTGGTGTATAGATAATGGATGGATGGATGGACGGATGGATGGATGGATGGATGGATGGATGGATGTTTGGAGGTAATACATAAAATTGTGCTGCCTTTGGAGGGCTAGGTTGGCAATTAAAAGAGTAGAAATTAGCAGTGAGAATGGAACAGATCAAAACAAGCTACCATTATGTCCAAGTAAAAAGACAAAAAAGTCACCTCCTAATGCCTATAAAACTGACCAATTAAATGAAAAAGTTGCAGTTTTAAGGGAGTTTATGAGTCTCACTATCTCTTAGCTGAGAAAAAAAAAGATAGATGAGTTTCAGAGGTCATCTGCGTTGCAATAGACTGAAAAGCCATATTCTCAAAATGCTAAACCATTCCTTTAATTAAGTACACAAATTAGCAGTTTCTTTATGACATCGCTATAACAATGTACAGGGAATTCAAACTGTTGTAAATTCCTGATTGCAGCTCAAAACTTTCTTATCTTTTTTTAATTTCCTTGTTTCTTCATCACACAACAACAGAATCAATAAAGAGAGTGTTTTGTCAGTTTCACCGAGTCCCTCCAGGCAGCAGCTGACTGATGTGAGGCACTTGGTGACACAGCTTAATGGACTTGTACCATCTCCTAGGACATTTGGATTTTATTTGCCCTGTGGCAAACACTGTCAGAGCGAGGTTATTATAGAAGGACCCTGACACAGATTTTTTTTAACATAAGGACAATCATTTCTCCTAACACATCTAATGAAGTCTGCTTTAATGTCTGATGTTTCAATATAGTTGGCCTAACTGTGACACCAATGCGAATAAAACTAATATACATGTAAAAAGCATGGCATATTGTATTATTCAGTCACATGTAATCCTCTTATAGCCACACTGATGTGCCTGTTTTACTGGCTCAGATCCATATGTGATTCATGTGTATTTTCTCAGCTATACATGGATCTTCCGTAGCCTTGTATGACAAGTGTATATATGGTATTCCCATAGTAAAATCCCTCAGGGGATTTTCCCATGCCAATAAACTGGACCAGCACCAATCACGTCTGACACACAATGTTTTTGTCTTCATACCACCTACTGAATCATTTTAATTAGCAGATGTACGGCTTAAATATTATCAAGTATTATTATTTATGAATGCGTTAATGCCCTTCCTTGCCATTTTCACCAAAGCAATCATACAGTGCATGCATAAAACTATAAGATAGCTACATAATATGGCCCATAGACATTTTTTTTAAATCCTGTTAGGCTTTGGATGTTATTACTTTTCATATATTTTAAAGCACTGTTTTATATGTGTGGTGTCTTGTTGGAGTCAAATAATAAATGCATTAAGATTTGGCGTACCACCATTAGCCCGCAACAATAAAACCACTGACAGATGAAGTGAATTACATCGATTATCTTGTGAAAATGGCACCTGTCAAGAGGTGGGATATATTTGGCAGCAAGTGAACAGTGTTAGAAGCAAGAAAAATGAGCAGACCAAAGATCTGAATGACTTTGACAGGGGAAAAATGGTGGTGGCTAAATGACTGGGTCACAGCGTCTCCAAAAGAGCAGGTGGTGTGGTACGTAGTGGTCCGTACATACTAAAAGAGGCACAAGGTAGGACAACTGACAACGGGCTCCAAGACTGATGAACGTTGGGAGTCAAACCAGGTTTATGTGCTCTCATCTCACCCAAGAGCTACTGCAGCACAAATTCCTAAGAAACGTAATGCTGGTGTGATAGAAAGAACACATAGTGCAACAATGCTTACTGCGTATGGGGCTGTATAGCTGCAGAGGCACCATGGTGAGCCCTGTCCACCGCTCAAAGTGCCAGCAATGATCACATAAATGTCAGAGCTGGACAGTAGAACAATAGCAGAAGGCGGCCTGGGTTGATCAATCTCTTTTTCAGTTGCATCGTGTGGACAGCTAGAGATGGGTGCGTGTGTGCCAATTACTTGAAGAGGTTACAGCAGGATGCACTGTGGGGAGAATGGAGGCAGTGTGATGCTTCAGGCAATGTTCTCCTGGGAAACTTTGGATTTTCACGTTCCTTTGACATGTATCGCCCACATAAACATTGACGCAGATCACGCACACCCCTTCATGGCGACAATATTCCCTGATTGGCCTCATTCGGCAGGACAATGTGCACTGCCACACTAAGAAAAAAAGAAGAAGAAGAAGAAACCTTCAAGAATAGTTTGAGGAACATGACAAAGAACTCAGGTGTTGATCTGGATTGTTCCCTAGATCACCGTCTGATTACACATCTGTGGTGATATGTCAGGAAAAAAACAATCAGATCCACCTCACAACTCCTGGGACCTAAAGCATATGGCAACCTAGTGCCTGACACCACAGGACACCTTCAAAGATCTTCTAGAGAACAAATCAGAGCTGTTCTGGTGCCACAATGGAGACCCACACAAAGCAAAGCAGGTGGTGCAGGTGGTTTTAATGCTAATATGTGTGTATCTGACTTTAGTATCAGTAAAAAATTAATTGGAGATTTACATCTGAATTTATGAAAAATGAATTGTAGTGTAAACAGTGTAAATAAAAGGCTCACGTACAGTAATCAACACTGACAAACACAGGCATACAGAAAGACACACAGCCACACATAAATGCATCCTAAGTGGTTGCTCCGCACTGCGTAAAAGAACTTTAATT